TTCACCATGTTGGCCAGGCTGGTCTCGAACTCCTGACCTCAGGTGATCCGCCCACCTCAGCCTCCCAAAGTGCTGGGATTACAGGCATGAGCCACTGTGCCCAGCCTTTTGTAGATAATTTTAAATCAACTTGGAAAACTATGCAAAGTTTGACCTCCATTTCTGGTAATATGGCTGGCTAGATGTTGAGATAGACCTTCCTACTGGGGAAAAACACTACATAATATATTTTTTCAAAAATCTTTCCAAAAGCATCAGAAAGTCAGAATCAAGGCATAATCTAACAGAAGACAAAAGATAAGTGGAGCACTAAAACTGCTTTGACCCCGAGAACATTTTTTTAAAAACTAGTGACCATAATTTTCAGTTTTTACTATCGCATGCAGAATAAAAGGCAAAGCCCAGGATCGCTCCACATGGTATAGTCTATTGGGAAACACTCACCATATAAAGCTAGGATGGTAAAAGGCTAGGTATACCATCGTAGGGTGAACCACAGGTAAACTGCTCCAACCCTGGGAATGCAGGGAAAATTGCCCTTTACTCAGCTGATTGCTGATGGGTATACAGTTTATTTTGGGCCAATGAAATGTTCTGGAATTAAATAGGGATTGCGGTTGCACAACTATACTAAAATTCCTTGAATTATGTATACTTTACAAGGATGATTCTTAAGGTGTGTGAACTATATCTCAATAAAGCTATTATAAAGCGATATGGAGGACAGAGTGAGAAGGTCATATTATTCTGTCTAATCACAGCTCTACAATGAAGAGAATATGGGACACAGACAATATTTGAAGAAATAATGACTACGAGTTTTCTGTCTTCTGTTAGATTTTGCCCTGATTTTGACTTTCTGATGCTTTTGGAAAGATTTTTTAAAAATATATTATGTAGTACTTTTTCCCAATAGGAAGATCTATCTCACCATCTAGCCAGTCATATTACTAGAAATGGAGGTCAAACTTTGCATAGTTTTCCAAGTTGACTTAAAATTATCTATAAAAATAATGTATCCATCATTTACTAAATGTAACACTGAAAATATGTGAAAGATACCGATTCACAGATTCAACAAACCCGAAGAATCCCAAGCATGATAAATACTAAGAAATACTCAACTAGGTTCATCTTAGTGAAGTTGTCAAAAATAGAGATCATAAAATTAGCATAGAAGGGAGCAACAATTAGAAACTTTCTCATCCATGTGGTAACATGTATTAGAACTTAATTCCTTTTTATGACTGAATAATACTCCATTGTATGTATGTACTACATTTTGTTTATCCATTCATCTGGACACTTGGATTGTTTCCATTTTTGTCTATGTGAATAATGCCACTCTGAAAATTCATATACAAGTATCTGCTTTCAGTTTCTTTTAAAAACCTGCCTTTTTTTTTTTTTTAAACATATCTTTCGTTTATAAGCACAAATCAATTTGGAATAAAGCCAGTGGATATTTTATTCCCACAATCCTTTCATTAATACTGCAAGCTCTTACTCTGAGCCATCAATAGTTACCAAGAACACTATATAATAGTCAGAAGCAGCAGCCAGCAGTATCTACTGACAAACTTGTTTTTTATTTTATTTTTTATTTTTTGAGACGGAGTCTTGCCCTGTCATCTAGGCTGGAGTGCCATGGCATGATCTCGGCTCACTGCGACCTCCGCCTTCTGGGTTCAAATTATTCTCCTGCCTCAGCCTTCCAAGTAGCTGGGATTACAAGTGTCCACCATCACACCCAGCTAATTGTATTCTTAGTAGAGACAGGGTTTCACCATGTTGGTCAGGCTGGTGTCAAACTCCTGACCTCATGATCTGCCTGCCTCGGCCTCCCAAAGTGTTGGGATTACAGGTGTGAACCACCGAGCCTGGCCCAAACTTGTTTTTAATTTGCCAAAAACGCTGTGACATTTATATATTGACAAAAATTATCTTCCTGATCAAATTTTACTCAGACTTCCCTGAACCCTTTTCAACTAGGCCCGACTTTTGGACTTCCACATTCATCTCTGCACCATTCAGTTTTAGCAAGAATCCTGTGAAGTAAGTTTAGCCAAAACTCCCCATCCATGACATGTGATCCCCCAACCATCCTCCAGGTGATGTCTAGTTACCGTGGCCTGCCTTCAACAGGAATCCTCTTAGGTCCGTTGATTCAGAATCTCTCCTCACATTTCTTTTAGTAATTTGTCATCCACTGACCCCACCTTGCTCCTTAGCTATAAATTCCCACTTGCCATGTCGTATTCAGATTGAATCCAATCATTCTCCGTTGCAGTGGTTCCTGTACCTATTGGCATGGCCCCTCTTGAAAAAAGTCTTCCTTACCATGCTTTAACAAGTGTCAAAAATAATTTTTCTGTGTGTATTTTAATATGTTATTTCTCCCTTGGGCCAACATAACTAGGAAGAAAACTTCAAATAATGCTTAAGAGAAGTTTATACTACCTTTTGGTATTCAAAATTTTCATTTCTAGGTAAACTTAGTTTTATCTCAGGGAAGTGCTGTCCTTCCTCTAGCTCTAGGATCAAAATTACTGTAGTGGGCTGAATAACAGTTCTCAAAGACATCAGGTCCTACTTTCTAGAACCCCTAAATGTTAACCTTATTTGGACAAAGGGTCTTTGCAGATGTAATTAAAGATTTTGATATAGGGAGGTTATAAAAGTAAGCCCTAAATGTGATCATAAATGTCCTAATAAGAGGGAGACAGGAGCTTTGCCACAGGCAGAGGAGAAGGCGGTATGACCACAGAGGCAGAGACTGAAGTGATAAAGTCAGAATGCCTGCAGCCCCAAGGCTGGAAAAGGTAAGGAACAGATTCTAAAGGAAGCATGGCTCTGCCAACACTTTGATTTTGGTCCGGTGATACTGATTTTGAATTTCTGGCTTCCAGAATTGTAAGAGAATAAATTTCTGTTGTTTGAAGTCACCAAGTTAGTGGTAATTTGTTACAGTTGCCACAGGAAATTAATATAATTACCTACCAAAAGAATTTTTAAATTACAAAAGTAATTTTCTACTAAAGAGAATAGTTTGTGGCCATATTATTGTGATTAGCACTTACGAATTTCCAGTAGGGTTCAGAATCGTAGTATGAGATTTTATTGATGCTCAGAAAGAAAATTGTTCCTCATTTGTGAGGCTAGATAACTTTTTCAGGGCATTTCACCTAGTCCATAATGGTTCAAAATAAAGTAATGATTTAAACTGTTTTACTTGAGGTTTTGTGGTTCAAGAATTAAGTTAGTTGAAAGACATAATAAAGCCTTTCTGTTTTCCAGAATGAAGATTATTGAAAATAATTCCTCGAAGATTCAATCTCAAATAGATCAAATCAAGCAGTCTAGGGCAGCATATGACACGAAAGAAGTAAAATATTGTACTTTCTCCAAAGATCCTTCAAAACCTATTCCAGGTATTGTATTTTGTTTAAAATATTTGAGAGAAATCCTGATTATTTCCAATTTTTTACCTAATCCACGCATTATTATAAATGTGCTGATGTATGTGCATCTTGCACATGTGTGTTGTACACGATTTTAGTCAAGACTCTAGGTAGATTCAAGGGAATGGAAAAACAAACTCTAAAAGATTGAGTTTCAGTCAGCTGGGTTATATGAAGTGTAATGCAGTGGCTCCTGAAGTGTGGTTCCTGTATCAATGTCAGCATCACCTAAAGACCTCTTAGAAATGCAAATTCATGGTTCCCATCAGATCAGAGACTTCACTGTGTCAGAAACTCGATGGGTGGAGTTCAGCAGTGTCTTAACAAGTCCTTCAGGTTTTTCTTTTCTCTTTTTTTTTTTTTTGACAGATAGTCTCTCTCAGGCACCCAGGCTGGGCATTCAGTGGTGTGATCTCGGCCCATAGCAACTTCCCTCTCCAGGGTTCAAGTGATTCTCGTGCCTTGGCCTCCCAAGTAGCTGGGATTACAGGTGTGTGCCACTATGCCCAGCTAATTTTTGTGTTTTTAGTAGAGACGAGGTTTCATCATATTGTCCACGCTGGTCTCAAACTCCTGGGCTCAAGCGATCCACCCGCCTCAGCCTCCCAAAGTGCTGGGATTAAAGGCATGAGCCACTGTGCCCAGCCGCTTCAGGTTTTTTTGATGCACTCTAAAGTTTGAGAACCACTGGTATAATATAAAGTAAACTGTAGTGTATTAAGTTTTGGTGGATATTGTTGATTCATGTTGATGTCAGCATTCACTGCTTCCACATCTTCAGCATAGTACTGTTACCATATTTTAAGAAATTGTAGTATATCCTGGAATTCATCTAGGATATGGAGAGGTTTTTACGATGAGTGGATAGAGGAATTACAAATATTCATCCTGGAAAAAAGAAAGACTTTGAGAATAGATAATGGTATTCCAAACTTTTAAAGATTTTGGCTAGTGTTTATTCTGAGGCAAGATTAATAGGTAGAAATTTTAGGAAGCCAGATTTGGTCTCGGTGGAAGAAGCTATGTCTTGAAGTAATGAGCTACTCTATACTAGAGGATTTCAACTGAGTTTGAATAATCATCTTGTGTTTCATAAAAGTGGGGACTAGATTCACTTTTTTTTTTTTTTTTGGACGGAGTTTCACTCTGTCACCCAGGCTGGAGTGCAGTGGCCTGATTCTCGGCTCACTGCAAGCTCGCCTCCTGGGTTTACACCATTCTCCTGCCTCAGCCTCCTGAGTAACTGGGACTACAGGCGCCTGCCACCACACCTGGCTAATTTCTTTGTGTTTTTAGTAGAGACGGGGTTTCACTGTGTTAGCCAGGATGGTCTCGATCTCCTGACCTTGTGATCCACCCGCCTTGGCCTCCCAAAGTGTTGGGATTACAGGCGTGAGCCACCGTGCCTAGATTCACTTTCAAATATAAAATTGTGACTAGCAAATGACAAATAAGATACACATTAATAAGTACAGTACAACTGGCAAATTGGTACTAAGTGCTGAGAAGATTCTGGGTAAGGGACTGGTTAAAATCAAGTAGAATCAATTCAGGTAAGTTTTTGGAGGAGGAGTATTTTGTGATATGTACTGAAGTCAACAATTGGCCCAGATGAGAAAGGAAGATTATTTAGGGCTGGGCACAGTGGTTCATGCCTGTAATCCCAGCACTTTAGGATGCTGAAGTGAGAGGATCTCTTGAGCGCAGGAGTTTGAGACCAGCCTAGGTAGACCCTGTGAGAGTCTCTCTCTCTCTCTTTTTTTTTTTTTTTT